AGTTAATTATTTCCTGTTTAAAGTCTATAAAAATCAGTGCCATCTTCAAAGGTTTTTCCCAGTTCTACAGTAGGTCCTTGAATTTACTGAAAAAGGGTCTTGAAAGTCCTGGAAAAGTCCTTGAATTTCACCTTCACCAAAGGTTGGACACCCTGATGTTAAATCTTATATTTACAAAACTTTGGATTTTTAGGCCTTTGAGTGAGGGAAAGGTGTTAAAAACGAAGTTCGATGATATTTTTGCAGCAACAAGGTATGCAGGAACTGTACAGTATTACCAACAGTTAGTACAGAGGAGTTTAAAAATTTGTTATAAATTTTTCATAATTTTTATTGCCAGATACATAAAAGCTCTTGAAGCGATAAGAAAGTTTCGTAAAGAACAAACGACTGAGGTGAAAAAATTTAAAACGGAACTGGATTATTTGAAAGCGAACAAAGACAAAGCCGACGAGGTACTGAGTGTTTCAAGATAAAACAAGATATCCAGTAGTATCTTATATAACACTAACACAGATGTGGTATCTACAGTATAGCTTGTGATTCACCCCAATTAAAACGTTTCTATTCGTTGGAAAACGAGGTGCTAGTCGAGTAATCATATTTTTCAGATAGCAGAAAATATGGAGAAGACATTGAAGAGGCTCGAGGAGGCACAGCAGCAAGTTGATGATATAAAAACATCCATGACACCTGTTGAAGTTAGTTTTGAGATGAAAACTAAACTAAATGCAGCCATCTCTTATTGATCCAGTGTTGTTACAGGAGGAAACCTAAACTAAACTAACTTTGTCTTTATTTAAGTAATTACTGGATACATGTAGCTCAATCAGTTCTAAACTGTTCTCCCTAGAGGTCCAGTAAGAGTACAGTAATCCTTTATTGCTCTAATAACAAGAAAAATCCCAGCTTACTCAAAGAAAATCTGCGGTGTTTGATTAGAGTCAAGCTGGAAGCACTCTTCTCACATGTGACTGAGGTGAAATTATAATCAGACAACTGGGTACTGCAAGCTAGACTCCACAGATGGTAGAGATTGAAGACAGATCCAACAATACCCAAATGCATGTACCATGGTTCTCATCACAATTTGGATGCGTATTTTTTAGTCACGTTTGAAAGACCTTTCAAGAGTTCAACAAACGCTTAATGAACTTGAAAGAAACTTAGGTAATAGTACACAACTACATAAAAGAAAAATTGTTTACCTTTTATTCTTCTGTACATGGTTTTATTGTTGTGTTTTTCACTGTAGACATTCATCTGTCTAACAAGAAATCATTGGTGGAAATGAACGAAGATATCGCTGGAAAAATAACGAATTTTTTTCAAGGTTGCGTGGTTTAGAATTATATCTACTGAAAATGTTTTAACTCTTTGGTCAACTCTTATGAAACTCTCCTGATTCGGGCTAGGTCCGCTAGGAATTATAGTCTTTGTTTATCTCTTTATTATTTAATCAGGATCAAAACAAGAACTCGAGAAATTTGTCAGAGAGTTCGGAAGTAAAGTGAAAGACAAAGAAACACAATTAATGGAGGTACATAAACGTTTGGTTTGGTAGACTGAGTAGACGCGATGCGTATACAGTAGCTCATTGTATCAGCCGAAATTATAATCCGACAACTTCACATTGCAAGAATGGATGCTTCCAGCTACAGGTATAGAGGAAATTTTGATCTAGACAAGAAGAACGAAACCCATTACCAAAGCTGGAAAGAGCATCTTCAAATGAGTAAAATTGCAAAGTTTGGTTGCGAATTGTTGTAAAATGAGGAAAATATATATAACCCTGCAGTGAAGTTCGCAAATTTTGTATATACTAGTATATTACAAATACAGTGTATTTGCATTACGCGCGGGAAAAATAACCATTTTGAGCCGAACGTTTTTATTTTTAAAACAAATACAGGTACATACAAAATTTGCGAACTTCACAGGACTACCTGTATATTTTCTTTATTTTACAACATTTAACAACCAGTCTTTGCGGTTTTACTCATTCTAAGACGCTCTCTCTAGTTGTGGTGTTCGATTTCGTTCTTCTTGCCTTGATCAAAATTTTGTCTATACAGTTGGAATCACCCATTGAAGCATCACAGCCACAGCGCCCTCTTTTCTATAGCATCACCCAGGATTTATTTAAGAGTTCAATTTCCTATTCCATCAACCATTATTCATTGTTACATTCCTATTGCAACAGGTTGAAGAAACTGTTCGGATCAAAGATCGTGAATTTTCACAACTCACTTCTAAGAAGAACACAATTTTGGTAAACCATGGCAAGTTACAGCAAGAAGCAGAGGTAACAAATACACTGTATTTATTGCTTGCATGGTTTAACCAGTTTGTGTTTTACAGTGCATGCAAGTAATCGGTTTAAAAAAAAAGAACAGCCTTTTAACTCGACGATCAAATTGACACCATTTTTACATGAAATCGCTCATTCATTCTATAGAGACACAAGTTAAACATAGAACAGAGGAACTCGATGATTATCGAGCAGTCAAAAACGTTTCAGTTCAAAGGTACGCTAAATACGGATTAAAGAAGAGCCACGATTGTCTTTGACAAACCTTGCGATCTGTAAGAGCAGATCAGTGAACCAATAATTGGCATTATGCATGGCTTCAGTATATATTTCTTCTCTTCATGTAGGGTTTGATGCACCGCCATTTTCGTCCGGGAAAGTCATGCAGTTTATGGAAACCACAAAAGAGATGTATCAGAAAATGATAAAAGATGGCAAAGATTCAAAGGTTTGAAAAGCGAGAACGAATTAGACTTTTAGCTAAATTTTTGTACTGGATAGCTCTATCAGTTCTATACTGTTTTCCCTAGAGGTCCAGTAAGTATCATCTCTTATCGATGCAGTGTTACTACAGGAGAAAACAAAAATTAAACTAACTTTATTTATTTATACTGCATGGATAGTTCTATCGGTTCTAAACTGGTCTCCCTAGAGGTCCAGTAAGAGTAATCTATTATTGATCCAGTGTTACTACAGGAGGAAACCTAAACTAAACTAACTTTATTTATACTGGATAGCTCTATCAGTTCTATACTGTTCTCCCTAGAGGTCCAGTAAGGATCATCTCTTATCGATGCAGTGTTACTACAGGAGAAAACAAAAACTAAACTAACTTTATTTATTTATACTGCATGGATACTGTAGTTCTGTCGGTTCTAAACTGGTCTCCCTAGAAGTCGAGTAAGAGTCATCATCTCTTATTGATCCAGTGTTATTACAGGAGGAAACCTAAACTATCTTTATTCATACTGGGTAACTCTATCAGTTCTAAACTGTTCATCTGATGTTTTCACTCTTCTTATTGTTATATTTATGACCGTTATATTTAGCAAGTATTTCAAGAACGCATCGACTCAGTTCAGAGCAAAATAGACGATATTAAAAAGACGCTTTATCAATATGAAGAAACAATCAGAATTAAAACTAATTTATTGGTAAGAAAATCCCCCAGACATATGTATAATCAAGACTATAGCAACCTTTATTGGATAGCTATACATATCAGTTGTCAACTGTTCTCCCTAGAGCTCCAGACAACTAGATATTGCAGGAATCAAACCACGTTCACAGAGATGAAATATATATACAGTACATTGTGTTTTCAACACAATACAGTAATATGGTGACTCGTATCACAGGCAGATTTTGTTTTGTTACAGGGCGAAAACCAGAGGAAATTAAGACAAGTCGGGCAAGATTTGAGCAACGTTGATGCGTCAGCAAAGAAGCTACAGAGAACTGAAAAGGAATTAAACGCTGCGGTATGTTTGGAAACTCAAGCCATTATGAAACAAATCTGCAGCAGACTTGTAATAGCAATGCTGTTCCAACAACTTGTCAACAGGATGTGTTCGCACTGCTTGTTCCCAGCTTGTTGACAAGTTGTCAACGGCTTGTTGAGAACTTGCTACAAGGTTGTTGCGCTCAACAGACTTGTTACAACTTGTTCCATGTTATCGTCCTGCAATTCAACAATTTGTCAACAAGTTGTGAGTGACAAACTTGTAGCAACTTGATAGAACAACAGCAATGTTACAACTTGTTGACAAGCTTGCTATTGTACAAGCCTGTTGCGAACACATCTTGTTGACAAGTTGTGAAATTTTTACGTGTATAGCCGAGACATGAACAGAACGTTAGTTAGTATAGAATTGTGGCGCGCGGTCTCTGCTCTCTGTACACACGTAAAAACACACAAGTTGTTACGAATCTGTTTACAAACTATCGACAAGTTGTTGTAACAAGTTTGGAACAAGCTGTTAACAACTTGTAACAAGCTTGATGGCATTATCAGACTTGTTACAAGATTGTCGCAACAAATCTGATACAGTCGTGATTACTGTCGTTCCAATTGAAGTGTTGCTGAAATATTGATTCAATACATTACCTCGGGCTGACCAATTCATTTGATCAAGTTCCTCGACATATTCATACACTTCCTGTGAAAGAGCCAATTCCAAGTATTTGATCATTTCTGG